TAGTACCTAAGCAAAGCTGTGTGTACAACTGTTAGGAAGTCCTAGGAGAGGGAGGGAGAAAATGTCTTTGCTGAATGGAACACACACATTTTACCTGGAGCAGCCTTCTGGAAAGAGAAGGAAAAACAATGAGAGGAAAAGAGACTATTTCCTACCCCATCACAGAGTTGTCTTAGCACCCCTGGACTGCCTCTATTTACATGAGATAAAATAAAAGCTTTATCTTCCTGAACTACCGTATTTTCAGTACTTAGGTACTTGGAGCCAAAGCAAATTCTGACTGATACAGAATTAAGAAAGTGAAATCACAGCAACGTTTTTTTCTAATTTGTGGTGAGACAAATTTCACAAGCTTCAACAAAGATTCTTTTAAAAGCTTGAATAATCTCACTAGAGAACAGAATGGATATACTTCACACTGGTGCAGACATTGTTAAGAAGGAGGCTGAGACTCTAAAAGCCCTCCAGCCCTCAGTCTTCGAGTTCTGTAATGAAATACACATCAGTTTTAGGAAATCAAAGCCCAGACATTCCAGGGATGACTCTATAATGAGAAACATCAGGTCAGAGAGGGCAGCTGCATAAATGTGCTCTAACTTTAATATCCAATAATTGTCTCTGAGAAATCTAGAGCTCTTAGTAGGCAGATGAAGGCTCTAAAAGTGCCTGCTCCTTTGGCAGTTGCCTTTTGTAAGTAAGGTTACATCCATCCCATCCCCTGCCTTTAACTAGGCATTCTAAATTATAAGGTGAAGCCATACTTAAATGATTAGGATATTAACTAGTAAATAATCTCCAGATTCATAATGTTATGTAGTAACTACCAATGAGCAGTGAAATGTATGGCAAAGCCACTTATGTAGGGTCTTCTTTAAACTCAATGTGGATGAAAAAGCAAAGGGTAGTAGTTAATTTGTAGAAAACAAACAGAAGCAAAGGAGCTAATGGGAAATTATGTCAAAAGGAAAGAATTAATGAGACTAACTCTTAACAGGGTCAATTGAGGTTAGTGTGAAGTTACGAATTATGGCTGTGTGTGTCTCCATTTGTCTGGGAAGGAAGATTCTTTTAGTAGCACAGGCACACTAAGATAACTTCT